GAAGATGATGAAGTACAGGATGATGATGAGGATTATTTGTGGGTGAAATCTGGTCTCAAGAAAATATAGGATCATGAAGTCCCAGGTTTGGATCGGCGCCCCCAATGATTCCAGTGTCTTGAGTTGGGCAGTACACTCATTAAAGAGCGGTTGCAGTTCCGCTGCCGACCGTGATCGCATCTCGGGAAGCTCGAACAACCGTCCCAAATGATGCCTTACAATGGCGTTAGTTTGGCCGTAGTTGCTACGCACGAGCTCCCAGACTTCCTTATAATTATCCTCCGACATCGGTACCGATTCCAGAACCCGCTGTGCTTCACCCTTCAGGCTGTCTTGAGGTACTGGAACTTCTCCATGTTGGTGAGTAAATCATCGCGATTAACCATGGATTCAAAGCGGAAGTAGATCCACTCACTCAAGTTGCCATTGAAGGATGGTATAGCTATCGGAGGTAACCGTTGTGGTTTAAGTGATCGAGGGACCGGTGTGGACGCGTGTGTGGACTCGTTCGCGAATACCGACGCTGCTCGAACGGAACCTAGGTAATCCCTCACCTCCGACGTGATGATATCGAACTCCTCGTTAATCTGGACGTACGCTTTCTCATCCGCCGTGTTCCAAACGAGGATCTCAATTCAGTCCCGCACGGGTTTAAACCGATCCATGAGCTCCATGGCCCGATCCAGCCGCTGCTGAAGAGCGGACGCCGGAATCAGGTCACGGTTTGCCTCATAAAAGGTCCTAAATCACGTCAAGCTCGCCTTAAGCCGACCGCGCTCCTTCACGAGTTTGCGAAGTTCGTCGCTCGACGGCGCCATTGCTAACCCGAACAAAGGAATGAATAAACTCCAAATTCACCGGAACGATGGAATCAAGACAGGTATCGCCTGTTCAGTCCCTGCTGCTGAGGTTGGATGAAGGCCAAAGTCTGCTGTCCTTGATCTCGTGTCCTCCCAGTGAGGAATCTCTCTGACGTTGCTGGGTCTGCCGAAGATGAATGCCGGAAGTCCGTTCTTGCTCGAAAATCCGACTCGAAGGACCAATGGTTTCGTCGCAATGTTGAGATTGGTCGTGTGCGGCCTACTCCACCGGACGATGGCTTTTGTTGAGATTACTATCTCAAACTCGATTGTGTGATCGTGTCCGATGACACGATGCACAATTTACAATAATGGTTGATTGCCCGAGAAGTGTTCGGTAATGTAAACTACCTAAAGGCCTAATCGGTAGTGAGTGCTAGCCAGGAAGAAAGTCGCTCAGGTGGACTCTTTTCCTGGCTGATTGGGAGTGTCCCAATTATGAGTGGGGAAAATGTCGGTGTCGCAATTAGGGCACCGACATCACCCGATGCGCGATGTAAGTCCAGGGCGAGCAGGCAGGTGTTTAGATCCAGAATATTCGACGAGGCGAATGTTTTGGGTAACCTAAGTAAAAACTTTAGCTGTTTTTGCTCGGATTTACTGACGCTTTACCGCGCGGTCGCCGGGAAGCCCGTGACCGAAACCTTCTGGAATGTTCTATTTACAGGTCGCAACAATGCTCGCGACCAAGCCTATCATTCGAAAATATTAAATATATTTAGTTACATCTTCTAATAACATAAAATCACATTCTACTTCTATATTTTCAATGATACTATGTGGAAAATTCTAGATTCTAAATTGTATCGTTCAATCCAAATCCAATCTATTTTCATCTTTCGTGAATTTTCAACTGTTAATATCATCAGCTCCGAAGATGTTTATCTGTATCAATCTTACCGTAGTCAGACTATCGAGATCTAAAATTTTAATATAAAATGAAAAATATTTCTAAAAAATTAATACGAATCACTTTACTGATGCCTACTATTTTATTTTCTTCATCATTACGTAATATTGTTAATGTTAATGTTCTTTTAATACTTTTAAATCATTTTCATCTAAACTAATATAACGATTCTAAATTTTTCTCACAATTTTGTATCGCTAGCAAATGCACAAGTATATGAAAAGCAGAAAAATGTACGCAACGTTTATTTGGAGAAACGTTGTGCTATATCTGGTTTACGTTGTCCTGCTGTTTTTCATATACTTTCCTAAATTAATTTTTCACGTTGTGAATAATATTTTTAATTATAAATAAATTTTGTCTTTCTAAATTTTTAAACACTTACTTTAAATGTAGGGGAAGAAAAATAACGATCTTCGATTCTGATGCCTGTTTTAATTTTCTAACAAAAAGAAAAAAATAAATACTTTTTATTTGATGGATATTTAGGTCGAGCTTTACATTTTATTGCCGCTTATATATATTTTTAGATATACATTATACTAAAGCATCCAAAGCTAATAACCAAATTCCTTGCTTCGTTTCATTATTTACATTTAAAGATGATAAAATAGAATAACTCTAAAGTTAATAGTTAATAGTTAAAAGTTGTGCTCCTGCATAATATCTTAAAACTGCCTGTATAAGTTGACAACTACAGTACAACTACAAGCATATTAGATGAATTTTTTTCTTATAGAAAATAGATTAGAAGAAAAAATATTCAAATCTTTATTACATAAATGTCATTCATATTAACTGTCTCATTTTAATAATATATAGTTTAATTTTTAATTTTATAGTTTTATGAAAACTTATATGACATTTAAGAACATTATGATCCAACTTCCTTCATGACAAAACACAAGGCAGTGGATTGAGAAACGAGCGTTTTCATTTCATTACAAATTGCATTTATTAATAGCAAATGAACAAATCCACGATAATCTGAATATTTATTTCCAACTCTTCCGCAGAAGAAACTTGAACAAAATTTTAAAAAGAATGTGAGAATGTTCAATATAACAAAACTATCAAAATTAATATAGATACAAATTATACGTGAGATTTATATTTATTTATATTTTAAAATTATTATTATTATATAAGCGATTGTTAGTTTCACAATAAAAGTTTGTAAAAATACTGGAGAGAAAAATAATTAAATTATTTACACTTTTATACTTTCAAATTAAAGAATAATATAGACATAAGAAAATTCAAACACTTCATTAAACACTTGTTAAAATATTACTCTTTATTTTTTATCTCAAACGATTCATATTTCATTTTTATTTTTTTTAATGTTAAATTTTAAACTTTTATAGGATAGTTATAACCTTTTCGTATATATGTTATAATCATTAAAGATTACGTATTATTTTATTACGTATTACGTATTACGTATTCATAGTAATTTTTTTCAATTATGCGTTTAATTACTCTATACTTTATAATTTGTATTGTATTTTTAAATATATTATTATAATATATATGAATTATTATAATATATATATATATATATATGGATACATTGTACAAATTATTTGAAAATATAAATATCCAAAAGCTATTAATTATTTTGATATACAATCTTAATCTCTTTTATTTATATATGATTTATATAACGTATTTTTTAGTTGATTTTGATAATCTTCTTTTACTCGTGGTAATGTTCTTTGAACGGTTTTATTTTCTAATTTTTTCATTTTAATTTCATTTTAACATTTCCAAGTTTAGTCCATTAGTACAGAGATAACTTGATGAAAGATTTAGAAATCGGAAGTTATATACGAGGATCAACACTAACGTTCAATCATCAATTTGATTTATGCATGTAATCATGCATCTTAGATCGTTGGACACAATAGAATTGCGTGTTATTTATTGATCAATTACGATTTTATTTGTATAATAATGATCATCATTAATGATTTCGCTTTCCGATTATAATAATGAAAATCTGAATCCAGTGAGTTTTCATGCTGGTATGAATCAACATTTCATTTTTTTATCGAACAAATTTAATAATACTACCTCCAACATTAAATGTAACGCGGTGGATAAAATCTTAAGTCTATATATATTACCAATGCAACATAGAATCAGATTTTTACATATATAAGATAATATTTAACGACATGTAGCACAATATATTAGTCGTTTTCCGGAATCACACAAATGATCAGAAATTATAGAATCTTGATTTTGACTCAAGCATATATGAAATATCCTAAATCATTAAGAAATCTAAAAAAATTTCTATAATGCTATAATTATTAGACATATTCCAATAACTTTGGAACATCTCGTAAAAGTCAATACGATAATTAAGCAATTATTCATAATATTGTCAAAAAGTAATATTTATGATGTCAATATCTATGAGAATAAAGGGATAATATTTATTTTTAAATACATTAATTATATATTTTATACATATAATTTATAAATACATTAATACAACACATACATTAAAAATACATTAAAAATACGTACTCGACATGCATTATATATAGTATAAACACATGAGGCAAATACAAATAAGATATACGAATATATAAAGTAAAAGTCCGATTTTTTTGTAGAATATCATCAAATTAACTTTTCATTTTAATTGCTATAAAAAAAAAATCATGTATCGACTCTAAAATTTCTACTCTAAGATATTTGAAAATAAATTCTCAAAACATTTTTTTAAAGTCAACAATATCGTAAAATCTCAAATGAAAAAAAATAATTTTAATTTTTCACTCTATTCTACAATAAGAAATTTGGAAAAACTAAAATCAAAATATATATATATATATATATATATATAAGTAAAGATTCAAATATAGAATGAGTCCAGACAGATCATCCTACAATTCTTTTTAAAATTATATATAAATAATATATAAATAAAATTAGATCTGATATTAATATAGAAAAAATATTCGAAAACACCATGCATAGTTTTATATACAGTTTTGTTCCCTTTTCGGTTTGTCAGAGTTCTTTTGTAATATTTATAAACATTAAATATATGCTGTAATTGCTAATGATTAGTATCATAATAATTTTGAGTCTTTCTATACAAATTTTTAAAAATAAAAATGTTATATATATATGAAGATGAAGTATCAGATGAGGATGAAATACAAGATGAAGATGAAGTTAAAGTGCAAGATGAAGATCAGAATGAAGTACAAAATGAGAACGAAGTACAGAATGAAGATATAGAAGAAGTACAAGATGAAGATATATTACAAAATGAAGATAAGGGAAATGTATACGATGAAAATTAAGTACCCGATGAGGATGAAGTACCAGATGAGAATAAAGTATCAAATGAGAATGAAGTACAAGATGAGGATAAAGTATAAGTGTAGGTGAGGACGAAATACAAGATGAGCATGAATTAGAAAATGACGATGAGGATGAGGTACAAAATGAAGATGAGTATGAAGTACAAGTGAAGATGAAGTGCAAGATGTAAATGAAGTATCAGATGAGAATGAAATACAAAATGAGGATGAAGTACAACATGAGGATGAGGATAGTTAGAAGATGAGGAGTTAGAGATGAGTAAGAGGATGAGGTTGAAATACAAGATGAGAATCTAATATAAGATGAGAAAGAAGTTGAAAATGAAGATGTAGTAAAAGATGAGGATGAAGTTGAAGATGAAGATGAGGATGAAGTTCAAGATGCCGATGAAGTACAAAAAGAAGATGAAGTACAATGTAAGAATGAAATACAAGATAAAGATGAGGATGAAGTACAAGATGAAGATGAAGTACAAAATAGAGATGAAGAAGAAGATGAAGATGGAGAAGGAGAAATACACGATGAAGATTAAGTACCCGATGAGGATGAAGTCCCAGATGAGGATGAAGTATAAAATACGCATGAAAATGAGGATGAAGTAGAAAAAGAGGATGAAGTACAAGATGAAAATGAAGCACTAGATGAAAATAAGAAAGAAGTAGAAGATGAATATGAAGATAAAGTACAAGATGAGGAAAAAATACAAGATGAAGATGAGGATGAAGTACAAGATGAGAATAAGAATGAACTAGAAAATGTGCATGAACTACAAGATGAGGATGAGGATTTAGTAAAAAGTGAGAATGAGGATATAGTACAAAATGAGAGTGGAGATGGTGGTGATGGTGGTGGTACTGATGATGATGATGATGATGAAGAAATATTGTAGTTTCTTGTCATACGTAATCTGTATAAATCTTATCCAGAAGAAAATATATAAAAATTGCATAAAAAATTTGTTATAATCAGAAAATTCAAATATATAAAGATTGTCAATGCTTGTTATTTTCTATATTCTACACAAAAAAGTAGAAAATTACAAAAAATTATTTACATTTAATAAAACTTATATAAATTCAAATATAATAAATTGATATTTGATAATTTTTCAAAGTGATTTGATCTATAGTTTTTCGTTGAGAGTTTAGAAAGAAAAAATTAAAAACCTAATCATTATATATGCTTCTTCTTCTATAATCAATAATATAAAAAATAAAAAAGAAATCTAATTACAACTATTGAAGCTATTTAAATTATAAATATATATATAGATTATAAAATCTTTAAAAAATAAAAAATAAAAAAAACAAATAACGTTTACTTAAAATTTCTTAATATAAAATATTAAATAATATTTATTAAAAAATTCAATTAAAATTATTTTTTTATTTATATATTTTTTTTAGTAAAATATATTTTTATTACTTAAAGATTTATTTAAAACTAATTTTTAGAAATAAATATCTTACCAATTAATAGAAAATCACGGATTAGTGGATCAATATTTTTTTAGATTCCAATTTGGACTGAAATGTTACAAAATAATTTTTGATAATTAATTTTATTATTATAATTATTAATTTTCAAATTTAATATTAATTTTAATAATTATATTACTTATATATTACATACTGTTTTATATATATAATAAAAACGTAAATATAAATGTATATAAATATATATATAATGCTTATGTTTCCATTTCAAAATATCCATTTCAAAAATATATGATTATTGTTTAAATGTTTTATATGAATGTCAATATTGGTAATTTCTTGTATATTAATAATTACTTATATCTTGATCAATAGATTATAAAAATAACGTTTTTTTTTTTGGATAATGCATCTTGAATCAATTCAAATATTATAAAATCCCATCTTTTTACTATATATATAAACACGTTCTTTCCTTCATTTTTTAACTCTAAAAAATTATTCTTGTTGTGATATTTTTAATGGTTTTATGAAATATATTATTACAATTATTTTCAGTTATACTTTAGTTATGAATATAACTTTAGTTATGATTATATTTTTATCAAATATAATTTTCAGTTATAATTTTTTCTTATGCTAATATTTTTATCTATCAAAAGAATTGTTATTTTAATTTATGATGTGTAAAATTTTTTATTATTAAATAAAATAGTAACAATTAAACAAAATTTCCAAATACAAAAGTTATATTTTCTTGAATAAAATAATAATTTATAATAATTATATACATTTATCATTGTATATTTAAACTTATGTAACTATTCCATGAATTCGAGTAAAATAAAGAAATAAATATTAACAATATTTAAGTTATAATTTTTATAAAATAAAAATGTTTTATAATAATATATTATAATAATTTCTTTGAATAATTTGTGTTTAGAAAATTTTGAATATTTTTCTTCTTCTTTTCTAATAATAAAATTTTTTTAAAATAAGCTTTTTCTCTCCAAAAAATATTTCATATTTATAACTTTATATTTAATATTATGTTAATTATTTATTATTTTATAAATTATTATTTTTAATTATTTTTAATAATAATTTATTACTTTTTTAAATCTATATTTACATTGAAATTTTAATTGAAAATAGTATTTCAATTCTCTCAAGTTTTAAAATTATAAGAATTTTTATAAACGATTTGATGAACATTGTATGTCTTTTTTTTCTATATTTATTAATGTAATTTTATAATTATTTAAGAAATAAGAATGTAAATAAGAAAAAGCTTTCATATGTCTCTTTAGCTGTTTTTCATTTATGCAATATTTATTATCTCCTTCATTCTGAGAATGCCCATGAATCAAAAATTTATGCGTAATATTTCAAAGATTCTATTTGTACACTACATATAAATAGTCGAAAATAGATATTTATATGATATTATAAAATAGATATTTTATAATTACTGTCTATAGTAGTTATTTGAATAGAATATGTTGTAATTTTGACATTATTAACTTTTTTAATGTTGGCGATGGATGAAAGTTTAATAAATATATGTATTAAAAATAATAATAAATGTATGTGTAAATTATGTATGTATAAAATGATCTTTCAGATATTATAGCAAATATTATATTTTCTTAATAATAAATGGACTGTATTACATGTGCTAGCAGGTGGTAGTACACATTTGATGCGGTAAGGTTCGATGGCGAAAACGAATCTACATAGGACCGTGCGAACTTCGACAGCTCTATCTCTTCATGGTCCCTGTTGGATAGCGGTGGGCGTGATCGAGCCCAGTCTAGCGCTAATTAAACGAGCCGTTTCGCCAGAAGGGTAGGTCCAACTTGCTCCATGTTGTCTAATGACCGAGGATAGGATTTTCCGAGTCTGTGGGCGACAACACATCTATGCTTTCTCTCGCAGAAGTGCAGCTGCAACGTCACACAACACTAAGCGAATTAAGCCGATATGGGATATCCTCCTTGGGAAAGGCGCTATCATTCCGGCACGGCCGATATCAGTTGCATTATTGTATGTGTATCTATAATTAAATCTCTAACAATAATTTAATGGAAATCCTCTTCATAGTTTAATCGTTAATAAGAATCGCAAATTCCTAATGGAATACAATATTAAGATAATGATCAATCTCCTTATTTGCAATTCTCTCAAATTTGAGAAAATTCTTCAAATAATTCTTCAATAAACTAATGGTCACTATTGCACATTCGATGATAATCAAAAACTAATCAATATATGTTTGTTATAAATTTTCTGGATTACAGGATGATATATGGATTACAGATACCGTAATTATATATCTGAAATATCCTCGGAATATCACAGTTTGGCTTCATGTTGTAGTTTCAATAATGAACGATTATAATTAATGGTTATACTCTAATAATGATTGCAATCTTTGAATCACATTACTGTTTTCTAGGTGAGTTGATCCACTTTTGATTTCTATCGAGATAGACTCGAATTTTCTATTACTAAAATACAGATTTATAACATAGATCTGATAAAAGTAGGCCATTAGATATTTTGATTGATTGCAAAATCATAAATTGATTATTGATTTCTTTAAAAAAAATTTGCGAATTCTGCGCAATTCATTTCGAGTATCTATGAAATTTGTTCCATTATTCGAATAAATTTCGCAATATTGACTATGACGCGAAAAAAATCTATTCAAGCAATTTTAAAAAAAACTTTATTATGAGATTTATCATTATCTTGAATTGAATTTCCTTGGTAACTAGGCAAACAAATACACAAATAAACTTTTGTCATTATCTTATTGTATGCTTGCTCACTTCTTGACGATAAATATGTATGACATTTTCAATGCTAAAAGAAATGTGCTATAAAAGAAACTATTTGAATTCTGATTCTAGCTCCATCTTTAAATAAGTTATACTTTTTGATTCTCTCCGATTATATGCATTTACGCAGCATGCTCCTCGTTACAGAAGATTGGTGGGTTATTTTTCGGAACAGATGCACTGCCACTTACTCATATTTTTTGCATGATTAGCATGAATATTTTTTCATCGGTTAGAATAAATCTTAATCCATATGAACGTAACTATGTTAGTTCAGAAGGCTTTGATCGCGAAAGTAATATGCTATCTATATCTTGCTTATCAATTCTGCCAACAATAATATTCACATAACTTCAAATGTTTAGGCTAATCATTTTAGATAGTGATATGCGATTTTATATATAGTAAGCAGTAAGTATATTATTTATTTATTTATTTATTTATATATGCGCCATAAGTTCATTCAAAAGCATCGCAAAATCCATTTCATCATACTTTCATCGTGAAATAGCAATATATACAAGGATTCTAAATCCGATTGAAACCGATTGATTTCACAAAAGTAATTATAAGTAATACCAATTACCAAAGTGTTTGAATTGATGATTTCACAATAGAATTTATTGAACTGAGAGAATTGAAAATCTGTTTCTTCTGAAAGAATGATTGTTTTGTAACTCGCGAAATAAGTGAAGTTTTATCTCAATATTCAATTGATCTATAGTTGATTCCGCAAATCGAGTGTCCAAGAGTCTTTGAAGTATTAAGAGTTGTTTAAAATATTATGACCATTAGAACTTTCATTTACAAGACTTTTAATCCTTTGTCCTACCCGCTAAATCTTTACAAGCTCTTATTTTTTTTCAATGGTATGGAATCTATATGTTTTAGAAAATGGCTCCAATGTTGCGCGTATAGTCTCATTGGTATATTTCCGTTCGATAATTGTCTTCGTTTTTTATAATCCTATAATGGTATGTATGTCCTATAATAGTATGTTTTGTAATAATACTTCGGCTAGTTGAAGTCTATACTCGCTGTAATTCTGTTTTTTTTTCTATATTGTTTTTGTTGTGCAAAATTAAAAAGTGCTATATCAAATATGTAAAAAAAGATTTTTTCGATATCCTTTCAAGCATTCCTCATAATATATTTCCTCATCAGCACGGAAATATCTGCAATTTGATTGGCAATCAATACCAATCATTTCCCTGTTGTAAACAATAATACATTTTGACTTGAAAATAGGATTTAGTTGACTTCCGTTTTGTTCAGTCATTTCTACAGTTTCGTGTTTTATAGAAATGATATGAATGTCTCATTTATCCTTTCACTTTAATGCTAATATGCCATTGCAGCTTTTCATTCTGCATTCCTCTTTTTATAATTTTGCTTTAACAAAAACTCCCAGCATATTTTTTCTATTAAAACATATTGTCCCAACACCATTTGTTCCATTTTCAACTAAAGTTAAAAACAGTTATCTATATTTAAAATGTGTCCTTTATGTAATATTGACTTGATAATTCCATGATAATAATTTCAGGTGCATTGTAATTAAAATTTGTTTTATTGTTAAATATATAATATATTTTAAAATTATAGCAATAGCTCGATACTGACAATTTATAAAATTTTATTCCGAATCTTGTTCTTTTCGAGGGATTAAATTGTTTATAAGACATGCTTAACAATTCATCGATTGCAATGTTCTCTTCCATTACACATACTTTTTTGAATTTTTTATTAAAATAGTTTATCACAGGTTTGATTTTACGTAATTTATCCATCTCATCAATCGTATTGTTATTTATAAAATAATCTAGTGATTTACAAAAATCTTATATCGATGTTTCTATAATGGTTTTTTTAGATTCATGAATTTTTGCTTTTTTACTTGAGCCATTATTATGCATAATGCAAAGTATATATTAATCATTACATACGTACCATTTTCAATTTTTTTTTTATTTTCATTGATAATTGTTTGTGCTGAGTACCAATTGGTTTTCATGACAATATTATCCCAAAATACATTGTCAAACATTATATACAAAATATCTAACTCTTTTTTACTTTTACCTGACTGATTTAAAATTGCTATTTTTATGCCAGGAGTCTACAGATTTTTGGTTATTTTCCGAATCCATTGTTTTAATAATTGATGATTGATGACTGTTTTCATCATCATAATCTTCAATGATTAATTTTCTTGGACGTTTTTATACAGTATCGCTATCATCACTATTATTATCTAGAATCTATAGAATTACTATTTGCAATAATAATACATTCTCATTATTATCATCAATATTAGATTATCTTTTTACTGACATGAAGATATAAAGATTGTTTAATTCTAGGAAATTATAACCTAAATGAGAATATAACGAAGAATTACACGTAACTAAAGTAAGAAGATACAAGAACCACGAGTCTGACTCATGTTGGTTATGTTTGGTTCGAATAAAGTATCATGAGTCAGATTCGTGTTTATTGTTTTTGGCCCAAATTTCTTATCATGAGTTTCACTCGTCGTTATAGGATAAGGAGTTAACAATCGACAATTTGTTAAATACCTATTTTTACAATTATAGATTAGTTGATCATAGAAAAACATCTATTTTTTCTCTAATTGCGATTGCTTCTTCCACGGTATCCACGCTCGTTAAAAAATCGTAAACATAAATATTGCGTAATATAGATCTCGTTGGATGTATCATACTATTATTTAGACCTATTTACGGCATAAATGCGCGTAGCGCGTAAATAGCCGATATAGTGCCATACGTTACTGTATTAAATTCATACGTTTTTATAGGTTTTCTCTTTACAATATGCATTAAAAGAATCGCTTATGAAATAAAAGTATAATAAAAGTTATATTATATATATAATATATTATATAAAGTTATATTATATTATATTATATTATATATATAATAAAAACTTATCGGAACATTATCTTGATATTAGTATTTAAGACGACACGATATATACAACAGCAATCGATAAAAGATCATTTTGCATTATCGGCTCGATTGTTGTACGTCAATGAGACTTCGGTTGACAATTATGAATAATAAAAAATAATAATAATAGAATGATAATAGAAAAAAATAATAATAAAAAAAGAATAATAATAATAGAAGTACAAAATATTATTGCTTGATAAAATAATTAGAAAGTCATTTACATGTTATGTAAGAGGCCATTTTAGTTTGCCTGTGTAAGCTTAAACAATCTACATATATAATTTAAACTTATATATAAATTTTTTAATATATTAATATTTCTTAGAAAAAATATTTATTTGGACTATAAATTTTCAATATATTGAATAAATTATTGAAATTCAATATATAATATAAGCAAGTGTCAAAATCTTTCTCTTATTTTAATTTTTACAATTTTATAATAATTATCTAATAATAATTATCTCTTTTATGAAATCACTGATAATAAACATTTTCTTTAATAGAAAAATAGCTTCAATAATATTCTTCAACAAAGTTTCCGGAAGAAAAGATTTATCTTAAGACGTGTCATCATGGATATAATTAACAGTAGTTAGTTGTTCATAATACTATCTCATATAATTTCCAACTATTTGTAAGTTATAATATTATATTCTTGGAATTAAAAATGATTTTGTGAATAACAAATTTCGCATGATCCATTTTTATGATTCTTTTTTCTCAATGTCCGATATCATTCTTTCGGATAATACATAAAATTTGATTTACAAAAACGTCAGTATTATTAAATCATAATTAATAATTGAAGATAAAGCGAAGTGGAAACTAAGTAGCAAATAGAAATAGAAATATTTCTATCGCTTCGTCTAACGTAAATTTCAATTATAATTAAATAAAGTAAACTATTATAAATAATTATAAATAATATAAATAATATATTTATAATTATATTATAAATATAATTATAAATAAGTAGTTAATATTGATATTATTAAATATCACTTAAAACTTTTTAACCAATATTTTTGCATACTTGTGTATTTGTTTTGAATTAATTCTTCAAAAATATTACATAAATATGTTATCATTCTATCTATTTATAAGACTTTTAAGAATAGATGAAAATTATATAAAAAAAATAAGATCCGAACTTTATTGCAACATCGCTTTTTACATCGAAAGTGCACCGTTATGAGATATCGTTCTACTAAACATTGTTTCGTACAATTTTGTAAAATCAATAAAACAAATGGAAACAATGCGAACGATGTTAGTGCATTATGACTATTATTTCTCCATTTTATCCTGCGTTTTTTTTTTTTATCTTTTTTATATAATTTTTATAATTCTTTTAAAACAATGCTAGCAGTTATGAAATTGAATTACCATTTTTTCGAAGAATGATATATAATATACTATAAGATAGATTTAGATTATATATATATATATACATGGTATGAATATATAATAATATAAAATGATTTTATTGTATTTGTTAATGAAAATTCCGAAAAAAGATAGATTTACTTACAAAAGATATCTACAATAAAACATATTAATTTATGAATCAATATATCTTTTATTTGAAATAAAGAAAATAAAAAAAATATGTAATTTTCAATATTTTAATTAATTCAATTCTTGTTTTACAACTATCAATCTTATGTTTTCGTTATTCTTGGATATAACTTTCCTTTTTAGTTAGAATTTATTTTTTTTTCTTTTTTTACTTACTGATATAATTAATTTTATTAAAATGATTTTTGATTCATCAAAAATTTTTAATTTTTTTAATTATTATCTTCAAATAATAAAAATATAAAAATAATGTTTACATAAATTATATATCTACAATTTAGAAATAAATATGAAATTGATATTGAATTAAATAAGTTATGACATCATGAAAATTTAACGTAATAACAATTATTTTTTGTAAATATCTCAAAAGAGAAACTATCAATTAAGTTAATCAATAAGGAAAAGTTATTTAAAATAGTTGTGGTTGATGATATATGTCAAAATGATTAAACTGCTTCTCCCATAAAATACATAATCAAAAATTTATCTTTAGAATAAAAAAAAATAATAAAATCACAATTATTAAATTAAAAAAAGTCATAATTATTGGTTGAAAAAAATATTGATTTTAAATATATATCACATAATAATCTTATTACTACGTTTTAATATTAGTTTATTAATGTTTCATTTGTTTTCTTTTTTTGCTAAGATATGATCAATATCTTGAAACTTGAATAAGAGATATTTTTTCAAATATTTATTCATAATTTAATTGTACGATTATTCATCAGTTTTTTAAATCATAGAATAAATGACCATAAAATACGAAAATGCCGTACGTAGTATCTGAAATAATCTAATTTTGATAAACAGTCACATACAGTGAAATTAACTATTATTTTAATCATTTTCATTACTGTTGTGTATACATGATAAGATGCAACCATAGAACCCAATAACACGAAATTAAGATGTTTCAAATTGTTCTGCATGATGAACAATATTAATTTTTGTTCTATCACTGGGAGCTCATACCATTCTGTATTATATCTAAAATTAATTCATTACTAATGAATGATTAAGAAATTAAAATCTTTCTTCAACATATTGATGAATTAAACATACTCACGCATCTATAAAAATATTAGAACTGTGATTGATTATCTCTTGCGCAAAATGATTAGGAATAAATCCATAAATAGTAAAGCAAATTACGAAGAATAGGGATGAAATTAATTCATTTGTATCAGTTTTGAATGTTATTGATTTAACAAGCTAAGATAAAAAATAATTAAGATTATCAATTATTGTGACTAATCATTTGTATCAAATATTTGATACTTACTTCAAACATAGAAATACTAAATGCAATCAAACCAATAACATTAAAAAGTTATATGACATTATTATTTTTTCTTGAAAGGAGTTGATATAACTTTAACAAAAAAAAAAACAATTTCATTAATTACAACGAAATATTAATTTTTTTACAAATTAATTATACGAAAAATTAATTTAAATTATTATAAGAAAGTATTATTATGCTTTAGAAAACTTGTTTATGATTATAGAATACTAACTTTTTTGATTCTTACATGTAAATACACAATTGACATCACTTTTTTGCGAATTATTATATTTCTTTCTACAGAAGATACTCTTGGTATGTTTGCAACAAATGTATGACTTATACGATAGCTGTAAAAAAAACTAAGAGAAATCATATGTACAATAGATAAATAAAATAATTGAAATTAAGTAAATATTATGTAATAACCGAAAATATGAAATAGAAATTTAATAATTAATATGTATTTCAAAAAGCGAATTTAAAACAATTTAATGTTTAGTAAAAAATGTTAATCCATGAATAACTATATCAAATTATTCAATTTATATATTTATATTATATATTATATATTATTTCAACTAAAAAATATAAAATATATATATACTATAATTAATATAAAAATAATAATATTTGTGTCATTTCAAATAAATAATTCATTTTTTTAATTTAATGAGATTTATGTTGTTTAATTTTTTTACCTAGTAATCTTTAACAATCCACAAAGATGTTGCATCGTAGCCATAGATATTGTTTCAGTAGCTATAATTCCTAATCCTCCGAAACTGGTAATAAGGTTCAAATGCATACCAAAAATATAGAAAAATCTTTGTTGATCGACGAAATAATCAATTATAATTGGTACTGTCCGCGGGCGAGTGTGATTTAAAGGAATCAAAATATCTAAAATATTGTTACCGAATATACTCAAGAAGAATACCAATTGCAATGGTACGATAATAACTGTAATAATATTACGCGTTAACCAGTTGTTATATTTAAAAATATCTACAATAAAATACAAAAATCATAACTGTTATAAGTTCAATGTAATAAGAAAATCTTATGTATATAAAAATATTAAATAAAAAAATACTATGTCACTTTTCATGCATTTGAAAATATAAATAAAACTATCAATTAATTATTAATAATTATAAAAATAAATAGTATATTACTTTTTCATATTAACATGTTAGATAAGAAAACAATGATATTTACGAAAATATGTTTTATAAATGAATGTATAATACGACTAATATATTGCGAGCGTTCGATTAGTTTTTCATAATTATTATGTGCAAATGATACAGATATACAGATAATTAATATTTGATTAGGTTTGAACGATTAATATTATTTTTTGTTTAATGCAATTGATATAGTGTGTGTTCATATAATTTAATTGAAATTTAAAAAATTTTAAAAATATTTTATATTTTAATATTTATAATATAATAAGAATTTAAATAATATGATAATTTGAATAACATGACAATTTTCTGTTATATAAAATTATGAAATGATTATAGAGAAAATGAAAAATTTTCGCTTACTAATGAAAGATATTGTTATTCCTTTTATGGTTTTAGAGTATTCATGAATGATTCGGAGTTCTTCTATATTCTTTAAGGAGTTCCAATCTTTTTTAATTTCATCAAAAAGAACTTTTATCTATATTTGTGAAAAATAGAATCTTAGGATTCTTAAAATAAAAAGTTCGAATGAAAATTTCAATAAAATAATTCAAAATTTTGATAGCAATATAATAAGTAATATTCATTTATATTTCTATACTCACATCTTTAATATAAAATAAAAAACTGAAATATTTCATGATGCAAATGCACGTACATGAGATATAGGATAATGAAGTCAATATTAGATTCATGTTCATTTTTAACGTTATGAATGACATTGCCTAAAATTAAAGTATTTAAAATTTTTTTCTTGAAAAAATTAAATTATTATTTTAATCTAAATAAAATAAAATAATCAATTTACAATTATATCATTATTAATAATTCTAACAATTAAAGGAAATACCTGAATAAATATCCCAGTGCTCAAAAGTAAAAAGATGAAAATATTTAATAATTTTGAATATATTGTTCTTTCATAAGGCCAAAGACCAACGCAAATCATAAGAATTCGATTAATGTTATAATATTGACTACCTTCGAAGTCCATTCTTTAATGAAGTTTAAACGCATGTGCGACAGTCACACAACTGAATGCTATTTTTTTTTCTCTCTTTTTTTTTGTCTTATCGAATATTTTCACAATTTTTCCTTTTCTCGAATATTTTCCATATTTCCGATTCTTATGAAAATTAAATAGTATAATGTTATACTATTATATCGCGTGACAAGTGATAGACAACGGCTATAATTTAATTATATGGTAAGGATCTATTATTGGTAATATCAGAATTGCAAAGGTTTAAGTACATACAATCTATAGAATTTATTCCAATTCTAAGACAATAATTTTTAATTCCGAGGAAAATAAAAATTTCTTATTTATGTTTCTTTGTTAGTTTTATAATGATCGAATATTAATATATGTAGATATACATTCTTTTTTCAATATAGAATGGAAAGAAAGATATAGGAAATACTTTGGACTTTATTTGCTTTACATACTTTTGAAATCTATTATTTGTATCAATTGTTTTACAGACATTCAGACTAAATAATATTAATAGTAAGTTTTAAACGTGATTTAGTATTATTTTTAAGATATTGTAATATTTAGTATTTTGTGTTTGTGTATTTTTTGCAAACGTTTTTGGAATTATTATTCATTTCTAGTTTATTATTTTATTGAAATTGTTAATATACTTTATATATGTGTAATTAATTCTATAATTACAATTAATTAATTGATTACAATTAATATAAAGAAGGATAAGATATGATTCTTTTAAATTTACAATACATTATATAATACAATACATAATATACTAATATATTTTTAAAAATATTTTTAATTTCCTAGAAATTTATCGTTATCTAGTAATTAAACGGTGAAATTTTTATTTGATTATTTTTTTTTTTAGTTTACATTTATCTTTCTTTACGATTTTCTAAAAAAAATTGGTCATTATTTGGATTTAGATGATATTATGAAGAAAGATTGATAGAAGGAGAATCGATTTACAACTTGTTAACATTTTGATACTTTCTATAAATTCTTTGATAGAATCTAATAATCCGAATTTGTTTGTAGTAAAATAAATAGTAAAATTGTTTATCTTTATATATGTGTTTCTTTCAATTCAATCTTACGTTTTTTACTGTTGCTGATAAAGCTTGTTTGTTGGATTGAATTGAACTATCATTTTACCATGAAAATTGTTGTGATGAAAATTTTACATGGTGATTTAATTGTTTTTTTTTTAAGTTATCATTAATAGCTATTTCCAAATTCGAAATAATTAATTAAGAAACTTGAAATTTGTTTGTAGTCTGGAACACAATTCTCCACATATATATTTAAAAATAAAAAAATAAATTTTGTCTGTTTTCGTATTGTTTAATTGATGTGGGAAGACATACACTTAAATTTATGAATTACGCAGAGTTTGATCATTCATGTCTGCATACTTTGAGAGCAGAATATACGTATGTGAACTTTTTTTATATATTTTGATGTCTGAAATACCATTTAAAGGTATCTCACATTTGTTTAAATATGTGGTATATTGAAATCTTCATTTAAATACGTTGAAAGAACAAACATAAAAAAATATTAAAATTTTATATCGAAGTTCGTGAGAAATAATTTTTATTAATTTTAATTATAATTTATAGATAACCAATTTAGTAAAATTTTTAATATAATTGATATCAATGTATAAACTATATTTTTTTAAATTTTCATTAAATTTGTCAAGAAAAGTTTAAAAAAGTTGTCAGAAATGATTATTTTATCTTATTATTTTTTTTGTGATTCCAACTAACTTTTTTTATATCTATTAAAATGATTCTTCCAATTTCTCAAAATAATTCATTATAGATATTGCATCTAATTTTAAAAAAGTTATCACGTTTTAAATAAGTCAACATTTTTGATTTTATTAGATTTTTGGATATCTATTTCTTATAAAAATATGCATTATATAAACATCAGCAATCTAAGCATAATTCTTAATAATAATTTAGCGGAATAATAATCGTTATTCAAATCTCTAATTTATATTCAAATTTAATAATTATATTCTAATATTTATACAAAATATCATGAAAATTAATAGCCAAATTTTGATTAAATTAAAAAAAAGTTATTTTCTATTGTTTCTAAAATAAAAAAGTATTATATAAGTCTATAAATAAATATTCTTTTTTTGAGATAAATTTTTTTTTATTAAGATGGAATCTTTTTAGAAAATTCAAAAAATATTTCTTTTCTAAAACATAAATTCTTTTTTATATTTATATTTTTTATATTTACATAAAAAAAATTGAAAATGGTTTACAATAATATGTTATTACATGTTTTGTATCAAGTTAATGAATATCAAAAATCTTAAGAAATGTGGGTTATATAAATTTTTTTAATATTTAATAATTTAATTTTTTAATGTTTCCATGTTATTAATAGTGTTATAAATGTTTAGATAACAGTGTTATAAATAAGTTTCTCATAAGTAAAGATGCAAAAGATTTAAAATAGAAGAGCGTGTATAAAGACATTTAGTCATTTGAATACTTCAAATTTTTTTTTTCAGAATCTTTTTTTCAGATATGTTTTTATTCTTAATTAACAAATGAAAAATAAAAAAATTTTTTTAATTTAATTTTATGAATAAAAAAGACAATCTTTTAAAACAAAATTTT